CCCCCCCCCCCCGAGCCCCCCCCAGCCGGCGTAATTCGCGGCTTGAGGGCATTTGTCGGAGAAATCGGATGTTGTCCTGCAAGCTGCGCCCGCGGACTTGTTTAGGGTCGTAGCCTAGCTGACTTCAGCAAGCACGCAAATGCGCCAACGGACATACATGTGACTACTATGCGCGCCCAGGCTCAAGCAATTTTACGAATCGTGAATCTTTGTCTGAAGCGCGCAAGTCGTGGGTGGCGCAGCGCATGCAGCATGCCAATAGAGCTCTCTCCCGCGTGAGCTGTAACGTCCACGGACTGGGCTTGACCGGAGATATGTAGTGTCGCAGTCGTGAGTGGTCGTACCTTGCACCGCGGCATAAGAGGTCCTTGACGCTTGGATGTGGGCGCAATTCTTCCGTGCATGGGCGCGCCGCGCTGCATATATATGCTCTGGACTATAGCACAACCCGTCGGAAGCGAGGGGTGCGTGCATCAGCGCTCAGCTTAAAACGCTCGGACCACCCGATGCCTCCACCGGCACAACAGAGTTGCAGCAGATTCGCAACTTGTGACTTGCCTTTCCTTGTCATGATGGATGCGCAATGTGAATCTTCTTCATCGTCCACCACACACTTTGCACTTCGATCGAGGTTAGAAGTGCTGATCAGAATTCAGAAGGATTATAAGCTAGGACACAGCACAAGACGGTGTCAAAGACCTCATTACGAAGGCGCTTCCCGAGAAAGCTGCATGAAGTATTAGACCAAGTCATGAGGGGCTCAACAACAGCAACAGCGATGGCATTCAGCTTGCCTGAACTTGTCCTTGGTATTTTGCGACATCTGCCGCAAAGGAGCGACGTGCTCAACGCCGCCTGCGTCAATCAGGTATTCAGGGATGTGGCCGTCGGCAGAATGCTGCGCAAGACCCAATTAAGGGCTCGCGTGACGCACAAGAAGCTGTGGAGGTATCTGATCGCCAACCCGGAAGGCGCAAAACTGATCACTCGTCTAGACATTACCCGAGGCTGGCCGGACGTGCACAGCGATGGACAGGAGTGGGAGGCCAGATTGGATCCGGCCGTTGCGGAGGTCGTGCCGCTCGGCTTCGAGAGGCCGGCCGATGAGGGCACCTTCCGATGGCCCAATTCAATCCCAAGTGCGAGTGAACGAGCCGATCACAGCGAAAATGTCCCAGAACAAGAAGCAGCTCTGGATGCGCAAGTGCAGGATGTCTCTGAAGGCGAGCATCTCCTCGTCTCTGCTCTCGGCAATCTGACATCACTGGAGACGTGAGCACCAGCTCCAAGCCCGCAGGTCGATGCATCACGGAAGCTGACGAATCGCTTCCTATACATGTCCTAGTTTTGTGTGGGATTCTGCGCCGCCTTGTCAGCCTTCTGGTCCCGAATCACGAGCAGATGTTTGGGGCGCGCTGCGCGCATCTTGTCCCAATCTTCGGCGATTGTATGTCAACGACTACAGTGGTGGCTCGCCGTATCAGCCGAAGCCAGCCAGACAAAGCGCATTCGAAGAGGAGACTGCACGCTTGAAACGAAGGCATCCCCCCATTTGGGGTCCGCAGGTTCGTATTGGCATCGCAGTCGTTACGCCACCGTAGATCTGCTCAAGACACGGCTGACGATGAGTTCAAATGCCGATTCTGCAGTTCTTTGACAACGTGTCAGGCTTGACACACTTCAGCTTCACGACCTGGGCCTTTTGGGCTGACGAGGATGCTGTAGAAGGCTTGAAATGCACAGACTTGGAACAGCCCCTTCGGACGAGGTGTCCGGACCTTCGCGTAAGTCACGTCCCTCGCCGTCCTGCCATCTCAGCCTCCTCTGACGTTGATCGGTGTTTGCGAGGAATGCCAAAGTTTCTAGAGCTGCAGATGCATCTGATGCCTTACGACACAGCAACATTGAATGTGGACAACTTGTTGAACAGTGAAGCCGGCACACCCTGGGCGAACCTGGAAGCTTTGAGGATGTACAATTGTGGAGCGACTAGAGCCGTGGTGGAGAAGTTCATCGAGACGCACGCAAAGCTTCAAGAGCTGCAAGCGATTCACACTGGGAAAGTAGACGACACGTGGCAAGAGGAGGGGGCCTACGAAGACCTGAAATTCGCTGAAGGCATTCAATTGACCATACCTCGTGGCAGAGTCAAGGTGAAGGACCAGCTTGCGAAGGTTGAGCAAATTTTCGGGGCCGAGGCTTGGCGATTCGCTTGGCATTCAGGTCAGGACGAGTGGAAGAGAGCAGGACGATACTACTTTACGTGAGGCCAGGCCCTGGAGCGCCGTGTCAATGATATTCGTCATCTTGCGCCTTGGGTCTCGAATTTCCGCTTGGGATCGCTGGAATCAGTGCGCAAAGTATGGTCTCAACTGAATGGTGATTTGGGACGTGTGTGTGTCAGATTTTTGGTACATCTCGATCACGAAAGCGCTAAAGAGCGGTGGTATATGCGTTACATCGAGCTGTGCGAGCGGGCTCTCTACAAGATCTCAACGCCCAGGCTTAGTCGCCCTTTGTTACCTCAAAAGCGGCGTACTTTGGAAGTGGATAGTCTTCGTCGTCGTTCTTCTTTGCCCCTCCGAATCTGTTGATGATGAGGGGCGTGCGCGAGCAGAAAGCAAACGCGCTCACGAAGCTCCAGAGCAGAGATCTCTTCCATCCGACGTAAGGGTGCATGATGCTGGGAATGAAGGACGGGATGTCTTGACACTCTGTGACGAAAGGTCTGAATTTCCTTTCATACTCTTCGAGAGCCGTGGTAATCGAGGCGCCTTCTTTGAGGTTAGCGAGCTCGCCTGCTAGGGTGTAGGCTCCGTTGATGGCGAGCGGTGTTCCCATTCCGGAGAGCGGAGTCGGCGCGTACGCAGCATCACCTACGCACACGATCCGATCCTTGGACCACTTTGAGAGCCTGATCTGCTGAATCGCTTGGAAGTAGAGATCATCGGCGTCGGGCATCGCGTCCAGGAAGCGCTGAGCTTCCCAGCCAGCATCGCCAAATTCTTTTCTGCACAAATCCTCTTGCGTTTGTCGATCGCCTCGTGACGCAGACTGCCAAGCTTTTTTCTGCTGCTCGTTGCTGGGCATGAGACTGAGAAAGGCGCGGTACGTGCCGTGCGAGTCAGGTCTAGAGCTGACGACTCGAGACTTTTTCGCCGTGTAGACAGTCCACCAGTTGGTGTCTGTGGGCTTGCGAGGCACAGTAAAGTAGATGCCGTACATGTTCTTGTCGATGATTGTCAGCCATTCTTGAGGGAAGTTGTTGCGACGAATTCTCGACCATTGGCCATCCGCTGCGACCAGCAGATCAGATTCGAGAGTCTCGCCGTTGCTCAACTGCACTTTGACGAGCTTCTCGTCGTTTTGCAGAACCTTTTCGATGATGATGCCAAATCGGTAGTCTATAAGGGGATGGTCCTTGGTTGCCTCGAAGAGTACCTTGGCTAAATCTCCTCTGAGAATTTCGAATTCCTGCGTCGGACTGGTCGCGATGCCCTCTTGGACCGGCATGCGCGCAAAGAAGCGGCCCTTGTCGTCGACGAAGTGCGTGCCCTTTTCTAGCGTGTTGTAGCGCTTGAGCTCATCGATCAAGCCCATCTTGCGCATGATGACGATGGCGCTGCCTTTGATGTCGATGTTCTGACCTTGTGCGAGCAGAGCGGGTGCCCTTTCCAGGACCGTGACGCGGATGCCGGCCTGGGCGAGGAAGTAGGCTAGGACGGGTCCGGCTATGCCAGCACCGCTGACGAGGACGTGACGGACTGCGGACATGATGGGTGACAGTGAGGCGTAGTGGCAGTGGAACTTGAGTTTTGCGGGTAGTTGCGGAAAGTCACTGAGATGTGGATGAAGCTTTGAGAGCTGTTTGTGTATGCGAGAAGCTCCCAGGTGAGTGAGCTGGATTGTGGGATTCAAGAATAACGTGCTCTAGGATCATGCAAGCGGCCCTTTATATAGACGAGGGACCATCTCGAGCCCAAAGCTTCCAAAGGCGGTCGCAGCAGGTCCACGATCACCAACACCGTGCTTGCTCGGTACAGCGACGATCACGATGTGGTTGCTGAATTGACTCATTCGTGAGTGCAATTACCAAGTCACAGAGCGGCTAAACTACATTCTTGCTGCTGATTGTGAGATCGATCAGCAGCGCAGCAGAAGGATTGCAGAACTCAGCCCCGGCGACTGGCGCACTCGTAATTGGTATCATGCTGTGCGGCTAAGCGTGCAGCTGCCGTATGTGGAGTGGTCATGATTCCGCGGGCGCTCCGCCGTAGGCATACCGCGTAAACGGTAAGCGCATCGGACGGACTGTTTTTGGGCTCAAGCGGCCGTCCGCCCCGATGGAAATCAAGAATCTGGCATCGTGCGCCTGCGCCGATGACGCACGTGATCTTACCGCTGCATTCCGTTCATCAGCGGCGTGCATATGTGGCCCCGCGGCGTCATGAACGTCCGGCATGCCGCGGCCGGCACCGCCGAGCGCATCTTCGAACGCTCCGCAACACAAGCTATGTGTACTGCTTTGGTCAAAGTGAGATTTCCAGACTACCTTGCATCGCATCACAGCAGCCTTAGAGTTACAGAACGCAAATCTGTGAATGCGAGATCCGTGCTGTTAAGGCGACGTCGCCGCCCCACATCGGATTATCCGGCTGGATTGCCCTCAACAGATGCACTCGTGGTATCAAAAGGCAGCCAGAAGTCAAGAGCCATCAGAATGTTACGAATGTCCGAGTCGTGAGTGGAGGTCTCATAAGAGTTCTTCGGAAAGCGCTACACTCCTTCACATACAACTGGAGAGCATCTCCCAGCTTGCTGTCTCCTTGGGCGACTATCGTACATGGAGATGCGGTTTCTGATTCGCGACGCGGGCCTTTGAGCGTAGGGAGGCTGGACGGCTCGGTCGGTGTTTATCCTCGCAGACCTTGAACGAGAGATGAGCTGCTGTGTGCAATTGGAGGATCCTCAATGTGTTCCGCAAGCAAGTTTCGCAAGAAGCTGAAAGCGCCCAAGGTCGGCTGCCTTCGATGCCAAGGTCGGAGCGGCCGTGTCGGTCATCCTGGTTGTGGGTGCCTTTTGTCAGATCGTGCGACCAAGGCAACTCATCGTCGGGATCGACACCACGCCCACCACGACTCCTGACTGCTGCATTTAGGGCGAGCTACGTGATAATTTTTGGAGCACTGGACTGGCATGAGCAGGGGCAGTCCGGGAAATACCTACCAATCGATCGGTCGCAGTCGCCTTGGAGTTGCTACCAACGGGCCCAAAGGCTGTTCTGGAGAGAGATGATCAGCATAGGTATGGACGCCTGGAGAGGCTTTCCACGCCTGCACATGCCTAGGAAGGAGAAGCGCTCAGCTTGATGCGTGAAAAGATACGGGCAAGTCCGCAGAGTGCGAAGAGTGTCAGGCTTATCAAGCTTTGCAGCGGCTCGCACTTTGGCTGATGACCACACGATTCATTGTCAGAAATTGTGACACATACAAGATTCACCACTGGTCAAAATCACCAGCACTGCGACAGTACTGATATTAGGAGTGCAGAGGCGTTGACCAGAAGGGTTGCCACGAGCCAATATAAGCTTCGGCGCTCATGCCGAGCTTTCCGAGCCCAAGCACTCTCCCTAATTTCAACGCGCGTGGACGACCTCTCTCTGCTGCTTGCAAGATCGCCTATGGTATTAGTTGAGATGCTTGAAGTGAGCTTCTGGTGCGTGCTTCTGGCCCCGTGAACCTGGGCTCAAGGTTCCGACGAGACCAAAGGCCTGTCACACCTGCCCTCGCCAGCAATCGTGGATCGCGAATGCTCCCTCAGGAAGAGACCTCGAGCGACTTGGCCTGGTGCTTCGAAAGCGGGCTGGACGCATGTGCAGCGGTTGTTGAGCAGAGCCCGATCTCTGCCAAGGGTCACAGCGTGATCCCGATGAACACAGCCTCGAAGCCCGTCTTATCGCGTCATCTCCGTCCGGGCGCACAAGATGCTTTCAGACGTAGCGGGCACAACCTTGCAACGTCAGCTCGAACAGGCCAGTGACCCTTTGCTGCATAGCGAATATGTGAGCGGATCCTGCCTGAGCTAGCTAATGAAGCTTTTCTTCGCTGTTGCTAGAGTACGCGTTCTTCTCGGAAGCGCAGGACTAGCCGTATGACTTGTGACTGGTGAGCTAGCATACCAAGCGCAGCTGACCCAGCTGGCACAGTGCGCTGAACCGCCGAGTCGAGCAAATCGGTGGCTTCTGCGAAGCATGGGAACCACGTCGGACCTTCAATAAGACCATGCATGATTCTAGCGTGCGTAGGTTGACTTGACTGGCTTTGCTGTCCGAAGAGAGTCGCAGACCATTCGGAGAACGTGTCAAAGTCCACGCTGTTCTTGAAGCCGTCCAAGTCTGCCCGAAGCGCCACCGTCCCGCGAACGAGATGCAGCCTTCACCAAGGCTTGACACAAGGGCAAGCGTCAATTACAAGTGTGGTCGTTGCCGGTGACTGGAGAGTTGCCGAAGTGTTGCACGCTCCAAGGGCAAGGTTTGGGACGAATGATCGCTGGCGTGGAATCAGCGGCAAGGAGCGCTTTTTTGCAAAGCGTGACCATGCGTGCCTGACCAAATTTGCTCAGTAGGCTCCGCGACCACAACAGTCTTGTCTCGCGCCGAAGCATCACCAGCATCGCGAGGTTGGTTGCGGGGAGGGCGGGGGGAGAAGTGAAAAGCCCAGCAAAAGCAGGCACTTTCTTCGAATCGACGATTCACGGCTAGCTCCGCCCTTTCGAACTGTCGGTGTGCCTCTCCTGCGCGAACGAGCTACGACGACTTCAGACTGCATTTCGCTGCCGGTGGTACGTGATATACGCGCATCCTGCCTCGCATCAGCTATAATCGGCAGCAGGGCCGCAGGCCTGGTGAGAGCCGGCGTGCATCACTTCACACTTTGACTCATCAGACTTTGCTTGCGTCTGTGAGTCAAGTAGGGAGTGCGCGTGCGCGTGCGCGTGCGCGCTTGTTTGCATGCAGCCATATGCAATCAAGTCACGCACGCACGTCGTGCGCGGCCACGAGCTCTATAGCTGAGCTTCTCGCGCGCATGCTCGAAATCGAGTCGGCAGAAGGCGGGCAGCAGCAGCAGCAGCCGCAGAGTAGTCGAAAAGTAGAGAAGTATAAGCACGGTTGGAGGCGCGGGCCAAGGCACAAGCCGTCGCCAATTTTGATTTCAAGGGTGCTTGCGCGGTGATGCATGGCATGGGGAGGTGCGATCAGCGCACGAGCGAAACAGACCCAACAGCAGCGCAGCAGTCACGATTCGACTGCTGCCGAGTTCAACAACGCCCGAATCACTATGCATATGCAGTCTTGAGTTGCTACCTATCGACTGTAGTAGCAGCAGGCGGTCGGTCAGACCTGTTCTATAGCTGCACCTATAGCTATCACCGTTCACAGCTCCCCCCAGCAGACCTGAGCCGGCCAAGTTATGCGCTAGCACGCATCTCTTCTCGTCGCTTACCCTGCCAGCCGGTGCGCTGCGCTCGCACAGGTCACCACTCTTCTCGAACGTCGCCAACAAGTCAGCAGCGCGCTCAAGGGTCCGCCTTCATCCTTGCCCGCATCCCTCTTCACATACGGCGCACGCCTTTCCTGAGCGCTTCATAGGAGCCTTCTCGCCGACCACGGCAGCGCTGTTTGCACGAGAGCCTTCCGGATCCACGCAAGCTTGTGCTCGGTTAGCCGAGCGATGGTCGATCTGACTCCGCTGCCTACGCCTGAAGCACCAGACAAAGGCCGAGCCGCATCTCAGGCGCAGACCCTTTCCGCAATCACTCCATCTCAGCAATCCAGGTCTGCTCAAGACGTACACGACACTCATCAGCCTGCTCCTATCATTGCGGCTCCAGCCTCCCGCATAGCTGCGCGTGAACCCGTCCTCTCTGCCTTACCTGTGCTCGACGCCGGGAAGGTGCTCCCAGCTTTGACTGGTGGTCAGAGCGGCATCAACACGGCATTTGGCGAAAGTTCATCGAACTCTCCCACGGGTGCCGACGCGGGGATCGCAAGCGCGTCAGACAAGGCTCCTGACAGAATGGGTGACTCTTCCAGACGGGGCATCAGCGGTTCCATTCCAGGCAGCCAAGAGGCGATGGACGCGTACGACGGCTACACGAGCTTCCTTAGCAGCAGCGCATCTACGGATGCACCTCACGCTGCTGCTGCTCTTGGATCGAGCACGGCCAACGCAGATCCGCTCGCGACCAAACCCTTGGTCAGCGTGCCTGAAGACGAGCAAATGTCGGGCACAGAGTTCCGCTTGGAAGAGTCAGGATCGAGTGCACAAAGAGTTGACAGCAATGGAACGCGGTCCAGTGTTGCATCGAGTGCCTCTCGGTCGCAGAGCAGCGAGCCCCAGAACGATGTATTTGGTGGAACGAGTGCGAGCTCAGGAGGCGAGTTGAGCTCGCAACGGCGTTCAGCAAAATCTCCACGCGACGAGAGCCCTTCCAGCCCATCAGCGCAGGGGGGAGATGTGGGTAAACCGCTACCAGGTCTTCCGACTAATCGACCGGCCTCTGACTTGCGACTGAACGGCGCATGGCCGCCTCCGTCGTCGGGGATCGGAGCAGAGCAAGCGCAGCCCGGTGCTCGGCCTGATGTATCCGCGCTACCACCTCAGCACGTCCCCCGACCGGTCTCGTACTCGTCAGATTCCACTGCTAGGTCGGGCGATCTTCCTGTGGCGGCAAACTCCACTTTGGTAACGCCTTCCATTACACGGCGATCTAGCAACAGTCCTTCCATTGTGGTGCCAGCGCAGGTCAACGGAGAGTCACCCCTCTCACCGCCTGACGCGGATCCTGCTCGATCATTAGCGGAAAGCAACAGGAGCTCCATAGATGATATCAGGCGAATGCATGCTGCGCGAGCGGCAGCGCGCGGTAACGAGTATGCTGCGCACACGCCCGAGGCGAGGCAGCCTCGAAGGGTCCCTGGATCTGAGCCCGGCCGTCCCACGAGCGTCGTGGAGCCCAGAAATACTGACAGCGCTACCTCAAGCCGAAGCACCAGCCGCAATGCGCCTAGGGCGCGGAGCAGTGATGGTCATGAGTCCGGAGCGAGAGAAAGTCATCATTCACGAGACTCTGCGCGGACACCTCCAAGGTCGGCCGGAAGCGGCACGGCGACATCTCGGGCGGAGGAGCCGAGGGATTGGAGTCATGCTGAGCGAACAGAACGCTCTCCCCACGGTACGCCCACTAGCGCAATTGCATCTTCTTCTGACCGCGACAGAGAGCGTCGGAGTCGACGAACACTTGGCGATTACGCATTAGGAAAGACGTTGGGTGCAGGCAGCATGGGCAAGGTGAAACTAGGGGTGAAGATGACGAACGGCGAAAAGGTGGCCATCAAGATTATTCCACGTCATACCTCCTTGGCTGCCGTGCAGCAGCCCAAGTCGAGCGGCGATGCCACGCCTCAGCCTACGCCCTCAATCTTGGCGAAAGCCGCAGCGAAAGACCACAGCAAGGAGGTTCGGACGATTCGGGAGGGCAGCCTGCAGCTGCTGTTGCACCATCCCTACGTCTGCGGGATGAGAGAAATGATCATTCACCCGAACCACTATTACATGGTCTTTGAGTACGTCAATGGAGGCCAGATGCTGGACTATATCATCTCTCACGGCAGGCTCCGCGAGAGGGCGGCACGCAAGTTCGCCAGACAAATTGGCAGTGCTCTGGAATTCTGTCATCGTAATTCTGTGGTCCACAGAGGTGAGTTGTAGAATCTTATTGTCCCTAGCTTCCCAGCACCTGACTCAGCACAAGCTCTTTCCTGCAGACCTCAAAATCGAGAACATCCTCATCTCAAAGACCGGAAACATCAAGATTATCGATTTTGGGCTCTCAAATCTCTTCTCACCTCACTCGCACCTGTCGACGTTCTGTGGCTCGCTGTACTTCGCAGCACCAGAGCTCTTGAATGCCAAGGTGTACACAGGGCCAGAAGTCGATGTTTGGAGCTTCGGCATCGTCCTGTACGTTCTTGTCTGCGGCAAAGTGCCCTTCGATGACCAGAGCATGCCCGCATTGCACGCCAAGATCAAGCGGGGTCAGGTCGAATACCCAGCCTGGCTGAGTGGAGGTGAGCCGATGTGGATTAGGTGGCGGCCAGAAAGCTTCGTACTAAATCGATAGCCTTTCCACCTCAGAGTGCAAGCACATCTTGTCAAGGATGCTGGTCACCAATCCAAATCAGCGCGCGACTCTGCCCGAAATCCTAGCCCATCCCTGGATGGTCAAGGGGTATGATGGCCCGCCAAACGCGCACCTTCCCAATAGGCAGCCACTTAGGCCGGGCCAGCTGGACCCCGAGGTGCTTCAAGGCATGACTGGCTTCGAATTTGGGGCGCCAGACGACATCGAAGCTCGACTAACAGAAGTTCTCACCAGCGAAAGCTATCAGACGGTCCTGCAAGCGTGGGAGGTTAAGCACGGGATCTCGAGGAGCTCTTCCGGCGCTCAGATAGCATCGAACGGGACGAGCACACCTGTCGATGCGCCACTTGGCAGGGCGTCAACCAGGGGCAGCGTTGACTCAAAGTCAAAGACGGGAAGTAAGCGATTTAGCGGCATAGACTTTTACCGAAAGAAGATCAACGTCTTCGGCAGTGGCGCAAGCAAAGATGATCCAGGCTCCAATGGCATCCTCAATGGTGCCACGAATCCTAATGCGACATGGCCCGGGGCTGGTAAGGAGCCTTTGGACCCCACGCGCGGCTTCCATCCTCTTATCTCTATTTATTATCTTGTTGCGGAGAAGATGGAGCGCGAGCGGCTTTACGGACATTCGTTCTTTGCCAGCTCAAACGTTTCGCTCAACGGCACGCAAGGTGGTCCCTCGAATCGACCACCATCTATAGTCACAAGCTCAAGCCGGGTTGGCACGTCCATGCCTACTGCTGCCGACATCCCACAAGAAGCTCTCCGCGTGCCAGAGCAATCGCACGTCTCTGCGAATCGTAAAGAAAGCCCAGGCGTGCCTGTCGATCTTCCTGCCCCACCTGCAAGCGCTCGCTCGACAGGCTCGACACCAGCCACACCCACTCCAGTCTTCGAGTCGCGCCAAAAGAGTCAGCCTATGCCGGTGATGACTGGTCCTCCGAGACCGCGGGCACAAGGCAACGAGTTCGAAGCCGCTTTGCGCGAGAAGGGTTTCGCAGCACCGACTTGGTCTGCTGCGACGGCTCCTGGAAGCAAGAGGTCCGAACCACCTGCGAGCATTGCGGGCGGCGCTGTCTTTGCTGGAGCCTCTGTGCGGCCAAGTAGTACTGCTCCAGCACAGGTCTCGAACCACAAACGCAGCATCAGCCTGAGCGGCAAACGCGCGCCTACTGTCGGTAGAAGCTCTGATCTCGCGCCAGCACCCTTGGAAAAGGACATCCCTGTGAGCGGGCCCAGAATTGTGCGCAAGGACGCGGCTCTCAACACTCCGGACAAGCGCAAGACATACCATGGTGCGCTGGCTGATCACCAGGATCAATCAGCCTCTCTGGAGAGCGAGGTCCTCGCGAACCCGGCAGACAACAGCGCTCTCGCGACCCCGAACAGCGCAGGAAGCACAAGCCTGGTGAGAAGATTCGGCTCCTTGCTGGGTAGATCACCCTCGACACCCCTGGATGTCGATAAGCGCCGTCAGCAACGCATGAGTACGGGAGCCATGTCCCTGTCCAGTAGCCCTGCCAACCGGCGTGGAAGCATACAGGTTGGCACCGGATTGACAGGTGTCGCAGAGAATGGAGCAGAGTCGGCTGAGGCAGATCAGAACGCGCCGAGCTCAGCCGTCAGTTCCAAGAGAAGGTCCAATCTAAACGAAACAGGTTCTGGAAGCCCACAATCGATAGGCCGCACTGCAGGAGGCAAGGCTCTTTCACCGAGCAAGGGTCGTCCCAGCACTCCGGGCTCACCATTCGGAGGCTTGATGTCCGCCGAGCCAGCTTCCGCGCCTGCCGCTCAGAGCAATGGTGCTGATTCATCATGGCAGGGCGCTGCGCACCCTTCCCATCTTGGAGCTATACCGCAAAGTCGCAGAGAGTCTGCAGTGCGATCCGCAACTCTCAATGCTGGTCACTCTGTGAGCGCGACCAAGGACGCTTCGCCAGCTGTCACTGCAGCGGTGCGAACAGAGACGGAAGGCGAGCGAGAAACATCGATCTCCAAGCCAGTCTTCTTGAAGGGTCTCTTTAGCGTGCAGACCACGTCGACCAGACCGCGAAGGGAGATACACGCCGGCCTCATCCGAGTCTTTGATCGAATTGGCGTGCAGTATCGAGAGATCAAGGGAGGCTACGAGTGCGTACATCTGCCCAGTCTGGACTTTTCAGGTGTAGGCGGCACCCCTACGTCTCTTCCAGAGGGTCGAGGTAATGTGCGAATTCCAATCACTCAAGGTGTTTCTTCTCAGGGAGTAATGGAGAATATGGACGACAATGAGAATATACGTCCCGGAGGTCCAAGACGAAAGCAGAGCCGCATCTCGTTCGTCTCGGGCAAGACGAGACTGAGTAAACGCGGCGAGGGTTCGCAAGCAGACTCTGCGAGCATTCACTCTACGCGAGACGGCGAAGCGCGGAGCCCGGTTACTTCTCGCAGTAGAGCGAGCTCCATGACGGCCAATACGCTGGAAGCTGCGTTGGAAGCAAACGCGAACAGTCCCACAGTCGAGCGTCAGCTGGGTCGTCAACGCACAGACTCTCTTAGCGGAAGTGTCGCACTCAATCCTGGCGGCAGTTCACGAGAAGCATCTGCCACGCCTGCCCCAACGACGTCCGGCCCGCCACCTGTGCCTGCAAAGGCGATGGATCAGGCGACCGCGCATGATCTCGCCGTCCGGTTTGAAATTTTCGTAGTCAAGGTGCCGCTGCTGCTAGGTGTCAATGGACTGCAATTCCGACGAGTGGCCGGCAATCCTTGGCAGTACTCAATGCTGGCTCGCCGCGTCCTCCAGGAGCTCAAGCTATGAGTCTCAATGCGTCACCATCGCTTTCACCCACGATTCTCTTCTTCACTGCTTTCTCCGACAAGGTGTTGACCCGATGTACTTACGCCTCTGTGTCTTAGTGCATTTCAGTCCATCTATGCGTCATCATCCACGTCTGCGCTCAGGCTGAGCTTCCGCCCCTGTCACACCTTTGCCATACTCAAAACCCGCATCCTGCGGCTGGCCTTCCATGTTCACCGCTGGGCTCTTCTGCATCGTAAGATGTTAGCCGCCGTGTCCTTCTATACACTTCTCTTCGCTCACACGCAATTGGAACCAATGTCATTTGTGTCATTGAGGCTGTGTTGACCGCACACTCGTGACTCTTGACTTTTACGTGGCGGTCGATGCTTTCTGACCGCCCACTCCTTTGCACGAAGATCCAAATTCCAAAGCGGCGGGTCCGAATTGTGGAAAATCGTTCCAGGTAGAAGGTTGGCTGCATGCTGACAGCGGAGTCGCCCCACAACTTTTTTCAGTCAGCAGATCTGGTCTGGATGCCCGCGCCACTTGTGACTTTGGGCTTGTAGCGAGCGAGGTCCTGCCATGAATCGTGGCAAGTGACCTCCTTCGAACATCTCGATGCCACAACGATTTTGCGCATGTCGTCTCATCTCTTCTATATATCTGCAAAAGGCCCGCCCGCGTGTGCGCGTCACGAATTCTAGGCATGCGGAATGCACGGCTTCAGCAAAGATGCGGAGCCGAGAGAGATGCTTGCAAATTGTTGTTGCTGTGCAAGGGGTGAGTGAGACATGGAGCACATTTCAACGCGCGTGGATGAGGTGCAGCCGTCCTATTCTATATATCGACATCATCGAAACACCTAGCTGGGGAACACGCCCATTTGCTGTTGACCCGACGTCATTTGCCTGCGAGGTGCGGCTGCTGGCTGCTCTTTCTTGTTATTGCTGCTGCTGCACGGCCAAGGCCGGAAAAGGGCCGCGATGACGAAAAGCGCGGAGTCCGGTCTTGCGGGCCACGCTGCATGCATTCATCAGTCATCAGTGATTCAGAGACCCCTCTGGCCTACACCGAGACCGGCGCGGTACAATGGAAGAGTCTGCTGCTGCTGTGACATTTATACGTATGTTGTTGTGAGTCGTGAGTTTGCTGGCGACTGTAGCTGAAGCTGAACGCTCAATGAGTCCACACGAGCGACCGCTCTCCCGAAGCTCGAGCGCTTGACGGAGAAACAAAGCGATGCCGCACTGCGGATCACTATATGAACAGTTGCGGCCTCATGCGGAGAATTTGTCATTCGAACTCCACGCATTGAGCGCAAGAACGCGCAAAAGGCCGCTCGGATGATATCGATGCTCGCGACTGTAAATCATCAGTGTGCGGGCTTTGAACTGCACAGGAGTGGGTATGTCATGCTAATCACTCACTGACTGAATTTCAACCACAATGATGAGCATCAGCAGCAGCAGCGTTTTGATGTCGCTCGGCGCAACGCGACGCCCCACGGCTGCGGGCGCGGACCGAGTCCGCTCGTCTGAGTCACAACAACAAAGTCATGGAAGCGATGCTGCATGATGTGCACGGCTCCCTTAATTGGGTTGTTGCTGTCGGTACCGATAGGTGGATCAAATTGCGCAACAAGAAGCCCTCTTCAGCCCAATCCTTCAATCCACAATCAGCAAAGAGCGTGTTGCCGCGTGTGCGATGATGATGATGTGTTCACTCGACTGATGAGAGGAGCTCTGCATGCGTGCATGCTTGGATGCACGCGTCTAACCTCATCAGTCACACACTCTTTACGATCGCTGCGTCCTCGACGCCTTTTGATGAGCAGCGGTATAGGGCGCAATTTGAAATAATCAGGCACGGTCGATCGTGGGTTTGGATGATGTGATTGTTCCCAGCCGGGTGGAATATTGACGGGGTGCTGGACGACAACAGGGCAGCGCAACCAACGCATGCGGTCGTGCCCAGTCAGGGTTCAAGCTTCGTGCGCGGTCAGCATTAGACGACAGCGTCACGGATCGAGAGTCAGAGTCTTGAGTCAAGAGTGACGAGGATCACGTGAATGTCGCGCTGTCGGCTTTCCTGCGCTGCACCTTCCGGGCTCTTGATTCTCGATTCGATCGCCTTCCGGATGTGAGAGGCGTGATGTGACGGCGAGCGCTCGACGCACACGCGCCAGCAATATTATTGGCATCACACGTCTTTGAGACCTCGCCACCCGCGCTAATTGCTTGGGGAAGGGTCATCATATCCTCCAGCTCGCACGCATTCAGCGCGCGACATGATCGAGCCTGAATCACAATGTACCATCGCGGCATCAGCCCTGCATGCGCGCGTGATGGCATGCAGCACTTACACTGCGACTGTTTGATTCATGCAGTATAGCGATTGATGCTGCATCGCGTTGCCCTGCTCTCTGCTGCCTGCGCAGCCATCTGGGGCAGACGCGCTGCCGCTCCTTCATCATCCGCGCGGCGTCCGTGTGCGTGCAGCTGCTGCTGCTGCTGCCTGACGCATCAAGCGGCAGCATCCATGCGGTATGGCAGCCACTTCGCGCCTTTCGATCTTGACGCTCTGGCAGGCATGATCGGGGTTCCACGCACGCGGGCATCTTCCGCGCCCGCACAGGTCACGGTGATCGAGAGGCCTGATGGTGGAGAAGGTCAAAGTTCAAATTGTAAATCATACATTCGCGTACCTTGGGTCCAACCACTCACGACTCACTGCTTATCCTTTCACCACGCACCATCTTCTGCTGTCACTGGCGAGAGGTTTCTCGTCGCGCCTACCATCTCGCTTGGCTTGGTGCCATTTCGATCCAGTCTCCACCTATAACGTGACACTGCAGCGACACGAGTCACTGCCGACGACGAGAGTAGTCACCCGTCGATCCCCGTTGCAGCATCGCACTTCACCAAGCAGGGTGCCACACTGTGCAAGCAAGCACCGCTACTTTCAGGTGCATCATAACAATGCAATCTCCCGAGACTTCGCTCAAGAGGAAGCCGGCAGCTTCGGCTGCCTCGAATCTCACCAAGACTGTCAGGCGTTCAGTCACTCCAGTGTCCGACGATGAAGGCGACGCATCCGGCAGGCTCGGCCCAGGGGAAGGCGGCGATGCTGGAAATGAGCCTGGCGTCACCAAACGGACACTGCAAAACCGCAAAGCTCAGCGCGAGTTTCGCAAACGACGCGAAGCCCGCGTACGAGACCTCGAGGAACGATGCCGTCGCTTCGACCAGATGGGGCTTGAGGCCAATGCAGAGCTTCAGCGGATAGCGAGGCGACTGAAGGACGAAAACGAGGCTCTTCGCGGCTTGCTCGTGCGACTCGGATTTGCCAACATGATCCCACGAGCGATCGAACAGTGCAGCACGCCCAATCGCGAGGGCTACCTTGGCCAAGCGTACACCTCCGCGGCTCACGCGTCCGGCAGTAACAACAACAATAACAATACAGCGCACTCAGGCGCTTCCTTCCTCGCGCCGCATCCTTCCACAACCGGCGTAGCGATGCCGAGCGACCTCGATCTCAATCTCAACATGAACCTCAACGTGATGGATGTAGGCATGGGAACCAGGAGCACTACGCTGACTTCCCACCAGGACCCCGCGAATGCTGCTGGTCAGAGTGCGCAGAGACAACACTCTGTCAGCACCTCTCGTGGCAATGCAAAGAGTTCCGCAGTCTCACCATCGGGACTCTCCGTCAGCCATTTCGACTGGCCAATTAGCAACCCGAACGCATACATCACGGACGCATTTCGCGGTAACCAAGAGACGGCCGGCAATCAGATTCGACCTGGGCTTACTCAAGTGAAGTCGCGCCAACGATCACAATCCTCGGTGCCTCAAATCATCAACATTGACGGAGCTCAGCGTGGAAACGCGCGTCACTCGCCATCAGCTAACAGCGATGGAGCAGACGGCGCAAACAACGCTCGACCAAAGAGTCCTTTGCTGTCGCTGCGCGACTTGTCGGGTACGCAAGCGTCCGCAAACGCCCAAGAGAAGCAGCAGCAGCAAAATGCGGATGTGGTTTACGAGCCAGCCGGCTCCAGCTTGGGGGGTTTCGGTGGCGCCGGTACTGGAGGGAGCGCGATGCTTGGACTCCCGCCTTCTGCGTCTCAACAATTCTCCACGGCCACGGCAGCCAACAATGCTGGGAACACGCCCACGAACTCTTCGAGCTCCCTGTTTCCATTCCCTCAGAGGACTTATCAGAACGATGCTTTGCTCAATCCCAACCCTATCCCGTTCGCATTCAATCTCTCTAGCAACGCGTCGCATTCTCCTCCTGATCAGTCCTGGTGGGACGCCATGTGCGGCGGAGGTATGCTCACGCCTGGCCAAGATCCCACTGCCCTCGATGAGAAAGCACAAGTCGTCGCTGCAGCCCAACAGCAATCGAACTCTGACAGGAGTAGCGGAGGGCCAAGCGGCATCTTCGGTGGCACCCCGATCGACTTTTCAGCCTTCCTTTCTGGTGGTTTCACTCCAACTGGGACCTTTGGTGCTCAGAATTTCGATGGTAGCCAGGCTAACGACGTATCGCGCTCGTCAAATCAACGGCCAAATGCAGCTTCTATGGAGAAGAAATTGTCGGCCTCGCCGTCGATGCCGCCTCCCATGCCACCAACCGCACATGCTCAGATGTTCTTGCGCTTGCTCGAACGCAAGCTCGCCTCGCGAGATTTCAGCCCGTACGCATCTTTGGGCTTCCAACCGCCAAGCATGTACCAGGACAACTCGGCAACGCAGCAGACGAAAGATGCAGGCACGAAGTCAGGCTCGAGCATGTGGCGCATACCGAGTTCGACTGATCGCACCAAGGCTACCACGATCTGGAGAGCGCCGGGGCACGGCTCCTCGCCGCTGGCACAGAGCAGCAACGCTGCCTCGATGACACCCAGCAGCGTCTACTCTCGATTGTCGCAGCATCCAGCCTTTTTGAAGACGAGCGAGAAGGAGTTGGAAGAGCTCGTGGACGCCCTCGAGCCCAGGCATTCTACCGGCTCTCCTTCTTCGGGCCGCTCTGCGAGCACGGCCAACCGTTCAGCCCAATCATTGGAAAGACGTTCAAGCTCGCAAAGCTCCAACAGGTCGTCAGACGACTTCTTTACAAACGCTACCAGGCAAAAAGACGCGGTTGCAGCCACCCATGCGCGTGGCCAGGCTCCGAACACCGGCAGACCTCCTGTGGCAGCCGGTGCACCCAAAGCGCCCCAACCACTTGAAAGCGGCGCTGCGCGATCACCGCATAGCAGCGCAATGGAGCTGGACGAGAATGCAGTCACTCAAATACTCGACATGCTCGATGCCAAACGAGGAGGCAGTCAAGCGCAGTCTGGTCATCGTGACGCGTCAGACTCAAATGCCCCTAGTATGATGGCTACATGAGCGCTCCGTTGTCCGCATGGCTGCTTGCAACCTTACCTCGCTATTAAGGCGTTCCTGACTGGCGTATATACACTCAATCAGCTTGTTCAGCCGGTGTCTCCAGCATGCTGCACGCAGAGTGCATCTCTCCCTGGCCGTGGCAAATTCCTACATCTCACGTCGACTCGTCACATGCACCCAAGCGTCTCTCCTGTAACATCCCCCCCGTCTGTTCTCACCACTCTACGTTGCGCTTCCCAACTGCACTCGGATCACAGGGCTTTCATCTAGTCTCGTTTTTATATGCTTTAATAGGCCAATCCATCCCGATCTTGAGTGACCATTCTTGATCGGCTCGCCTCTTCGCCCCGCCATGGCTGACTGCTAGCGATGACTGACTGGTTCAACGACGCATTCGCGATTGGAAACGAGGAGGGGCAGATCACTCAAGAGCCGTCGTCCCCGCTCTCACGGCTTGGAGCCATGCGCAGACGCAGGTGCAGCTCGTCGTGTGACCGTGGCCTAAGGAGGATGGTCACGTTCCCTGGTGCGCTCAATGCAGAATCTTGCCCCGCGGACATGGACCGCTCGCCTACTGATCAGCCTTGTGCACCACAGCTACACAAAATTTTTGCGCTCACCCGCCGCACTCGAGTTTTCGTCGTGGCGAGGCAGCACCAGCATGCAGTTGTGCATGCTTGTATAGCGTCTGCGCGCCATGCAGGCGAACACGCTGCCTGCTGCAGCATGTCTGCGCGCGTAATGACCGAGGTTGTAATTTGGAGGTTGTATTCAAGTATTAATCGGCTGGAGGGAGCTAGCTAGCAGCATTGAACTCACGTGCACCATGCATGTTCTGCTTTTGAACCGTGAGAGTCGTGCGCGCGGCACGGAAGCAGTCTGAGTCGATCTGATACGTTTTCCACGCGCGAAGAAGTTGAGGGAAGAAAGAGAAGCTCGGGCGGGCGAGCAGTCAGAGTTGTGAGTGCAGCATGCGCACATGATGTGCGAGTGTGCTTGCTGCGAGGGCGGCAGTGTGAGTGTGCGTGGTGTGATGAGCGTCGCAGCCAGGTCGTTCGTGAGTCTGTGCGCTTTGGAGCATGGCGGGCGCGCATGTGCCGCGTGACATGGCGAGCAGAAGTTCTTCGTGATCCGTGCTTTGTCTGCGCTGCGAAATGAAGAATCGAATCGGACCCCCCGAGGTGGGTGAATGCTTGCCCTTCCGCACACGACAGCCATCATCCCCTCTGTTCAGTGAGATTTTTGGCCTAACATCCATCTTTTGCTGAGTCGCAGGACCATCTCAAGCCACCTTTCAGCAGCATTGTCTACCTTTCATCTGCAAAGAGGCATTCGAAAGTCGCTCTCATCCTCGCTTTCATCCTCTGTGCTACCTGACCCCCGAGCACGTCTCTTCACCATGTCGTGAGTAGCCGTACACTTTCCTTCAAGCACATCAGTCGAGGCGAGCACAGCTCAAGCGATGCTCTCTCTTCTCCCCTGATCCGCGCCCTCCTTGCAGCCAATCCGCTGTTCTCGGTTTCCCCCGCATTGGCCCTCTGCGTGAGGTCAAGAAGGCCAACGAGGCTTACTGGTCCGGCAAGATCTCTTCTGAGGAGCTCTTGAAGGTCGCCAAGGAGCAGCGTCTCTTGACTTACCAGACCATCAAGGAGCAAGGTGTGGATGTGATCCCCACGTGAGTGCTTGTTGCGCTCGAGACTCAGTCTGCCGCGAGCTGGCTCCTCACGCAGTTCGGTATCGCGCTCTTCTCGATCCGCAGCGGCACCTTCTCCCTGTATGACCATGTGCTTGACATTTCCAACACCTTTGGCATTGTGCCCGAGGCTTACGCAAAGTCTGGATTGAGCGCCCTCGACCAGTCTTTTGCCATGGCCCGCGGTCACCAAAAGGGCGGCGTCGACTTGCCTGCGCAGGAGATGCAAAAGTGGTTCGACTCCAACTACCACTACATCGTCCCCGAGTTCACAGAGTCATCTGCCTTTGCCATCAAGGACACCAAGCCCATCGACGATTTCCTGGAGGCCAAGCAAGCTGGCTACAACGCTCGTCCCGTGCTCGTCGGCCCCCTCACCATCCTCGCGATCGGCAAGGTCGGCGCTGACGCCAAGTCCGAAACCTTTGACCGTTGGACGCTGCTCCCCAAGCTCGCCGCTGTTTACGGCGAGCTCCTTGCCAAGCTCTCCGAGGCTGGCGCCGAGTGGGTGCAGATCGATGAGCCTATTCTCGCTCTCGACGCCGGTGCAGACTTGGCGTCTGAATTCAAGCAGACCTACGAGACTCTCGCAAAGGCTGCTCCCAGCATTAAGGTCCTTCTCGCGACCTACTTTGGACGTGTCGGCAACACTGTCAACTTCCTGAAGGATCTGCCCATCGCTGGTCTCCACGTCGACCTGGACCGCGCTCCCGAGCAGCTCGATGAGGTCCTCTCCGCGTTTGCAAGCACCAATGTCGTCATCTCTCTTGGTCTCGTCTCTGGACGCAATATTTGGAAGACTGACCTCAGCGCTGCTCTTCAAACCGCGCAAAAGGCTGTTTCTGCTCTCGGAGGGGATGCCAAGCGAGTCATCATCTCGTCCAGCTCTTCGCTCCTGCACACCCCCATCACGCTCAAGAACGAGAAGAAGCTGGCCCCAGAAATTCTCGACTGGTTCTCCTTTGCGACTGAGAAGGCCGCCGAGGTCGCCACTTTGAATGCTGCCCTCAAAGACCCCAACAGCGCCACCGCTATCCTCGAGGTCAACCAGCGCTCCATCAAGGCTCGTCGTGATTTCGAGAAGAACTCCAACCCTGCTGTTCGTGAGAGGCTTGCAGCTGTGAAGGAATCCGACTACAAGCGCAGCGAGCCCTTCTCCGTTCGCAGCGAGACCCAGCGCAAGCACCTCAACCTGCCCACCTTCCCCACCACCACCATCGGATCTTTCCCTCAGACCAAGGAGATCCGCCAGTACCGTGCTCGCTTCACCAAGGGCGAGATCACGCAAGCCGAGTACGAGAAGTTCCTCGAGGCTGAGATTCAAGATGTTGTCAAGCGTCAGGAGGAGATTGGCATCGACGTCCTCGTCCACGGAGAGCCCGAACGTAACGACATGGTGCAATACTTTGGAGAGCTCCTCGACGGTTTCGTCTTTACTCAGAACGCTTGGGTGCAATCGTTCGGATCTCGATACGTCAGACCTCCCATCATTGTCTCCGACGTTTCCCGCCCTGCGCCCATGACTGTGCGATGGAGCAAGTACGCGCAGAGCCTCACCAAGCGACCCATGAAGGGTATGCTTACTGGACCCGTCACCATCCTCAACTGGTCCTTCCCTCGTGCAGATGTTACTCGAGAGCTGCAGGCCAAGCAGATCGGTTTGGCTCTGCGTGACGAAGTCTCTGACCTCGAGAAGGCTGGTATCTTTGCCATCCAGGTCGACGAGCCTGCCATTCGTGAAGGTCTGCCTCTGCGAAGCCAAGACCACACTGCCTACCTCAAGTGGGCCGTTGACAGCTTCAAGCTGGCCACCTCGTCCATCAGCCCTTCCGTGCACATTGCGAGCCACTTCTGCTACTCTGACTTTGCCAACAAGCAGATCATGCAGTCCATTCTCGACCTCGACGCTGACATGGTCTCGATCGAGAACAGCAAAGCAGGCGCCAAGATCCTCAAGACCTTTAGGGACTTCAAGTACACCCAAGACATTGGCCCTGGTCTTTTCGACATTCACAGTCCCCGCGTGCCCAGCGAGGAGGAGATGTTCGCTCGTCTGAAGGACTTTACCGCTCACATTGAGAAGGAGCGCATTTGGGCGAACCCAGACTGTGGCCTCAAGACCCGTACTTGGGAGGAGTGCACTGCCCAGCTCAAGAACATGGTCGCAGCTGCTGCCCGCGGTCGCAAGGAGCTCGCCTGAGCTTCAGCTGCGCTGGCCAAGAGCCATTTCTCTCGTTCTTCTTGCTTTCTTTTGCTTTCTTCTCACGAAATCAAGCCTCAACGGCTGGCAAGCTTCAACGGCTAGCCTTTTTCTTTTCGCCCGGCTGCGCTTCTCTTGAAGCCTCCGATTTACTCTCACAAAAGTGCGCGAGCATCCACGTGCACATTCTCCCCGTTTTACAAGTTCTCGTCTTTTGACCGTGTCCCGTCATTGACCTCTCCCCCCCTTTGTTTACGATTCTCTTGGGGGGCCTTCACCAAAGCCCCCCCTCTCGCACTAGCTTTCCGTCGAAAAGGTCTCAACACAGCTGTTACGTTCCATCCTGTCATCGTACAACACTATCACGCATTCACGGCATTCAACTTGCAATCAATTCAGATCACCACGATCAGGGGGTGAGAGAGGCACGGCTTGTCTTTCGCTACGCGAAGCAATGAGACGGAATCGAGTCGTATTTCCTTTGACGAACAACATTCTTAAAGAAGAAAAGACTCGCATCGCATGGAGCGACGACATCGCGGTCGCTTAGATCAGGTTCTGTCAATGAAGAGACTCGGTGGCTCTTTCGCTCAGTGGTTGTGGTGATCCGTTGAGATAACGTCCGCAGTGAGGCGCTCGCCTTTCGACCCCCGCAACCAACAAAAAAAACCTACGGCATCTAGGATTCTCGCGTGGTCCCCCACCGCAATACTGACTAGACCCTACGCAGCAGACGTCCCGTGCGGCTCGCTTCGCTCGCCGCACTTAACTTAGGAGATCGGACGGGATCCTGTGCTTTGCCAGTGGTATGGCCGTAGATGTTATTTAAATAGTGTCACAAGTATATATACTTTTATCTTTTTTCGATCAACTCATCCGCCTTTGCCTAGGAGAGGCCTTCACATGTTTAAGTGCACAGCCAGCCAAGTGAAAGTGAGGGTGTGGTGAGCTGCACATTCTCGGGCGCACGGTCTTGTTGCAAGGATCTTAATACTACAAGCGTCATGATGCCCTGAATGGGGCTACTGGCGCGAGAGCAGATGTGTGTCTTCCTTCACGAATGGCAGACGCACGCACACAGAAGGGACGAGTGCTCCACCCACGGCTTCAAGCCACGACAATGCGAGGTCATTTGAGGCTTGCCCAGCACGTCAAATGTATTTCCATGCTGCAAGACGACGATTCCGCCTGTAATTGCACAAAAGACCAACATGACCGAACTTCTAAAATACAATCTTTTTGCCCTGAGGTACGGCATCGGCAGCGATGCCGATCTTTTCTCTTTGCGCGCTGGCAAGAGCCGCGCCTGGCGCCTGACGCCGTTTCGAATGACCCTGAGCAGCTCTCCTCGCTTCTCTCTCTTCCTTTGTCGGCTTGTGCGCCCTTGCAAGTGGCTGTTCGGGATCAAAAGAGCCGGGAAGGGGGGCAGGCCCAGCAGTTGCAGGTTCTGCACCACCATCGTAGAGATTTTCAGCGTCCCTCTGAGGCTTGCGACGACTGAAGCCGTGCGGTGCCCTTGCGTGCGGTCTGTGTCCCGCTTCGTGAGCACCGGCAGCATTGCGGTTCTTGACTGCGCCTCGTCTCACTGCGTCCGCACTGCCGTACTCTAGCTTGATTTCCCGACCATCAAGGTAGCGCATGCGAGGACTGATGAGCGTCGCTGTGGCGTGAGCGACCGTGTGAAAGTCGACGAAAGCGAAGCTGTGCGCGGGTGCATATCGCGCAGCGTTGTCAGAGCAAGCTCGCCGCGACGAAGAGACTCGCAGCGCAACTCACCCTTTGCACTTGTTTGTGCCCTCAAACTCTCCCATACGGATCTTGCGTATGCCTGCTCCTCTGACTTCATTGGGGCGCGCAGGTTGCTCTCTCTTTCTTTTTCGAGTGTCCTCCTTGGTATGGACACCTTCTGCGTCAGCTCGTGACTCATTCGAGGCGTCGTCATGGTCCGCTTTTGCCTTTGCGTCATCACTTGCGTCGCCCGCCAGCGACTCCTTTGGGGCGCGCTCCTGCCGAGCCTGGGCTGCTCCCTCCACAAGCTCCCGTAAGCTCGTCTCCGTGGTGGCAAACGACAGATTGCCCACGAACAGAGTCTCGCAAGGCGCATTCCTCTGCGCTCTGAGAATCTTTTGCGCAGTCTTTGTCAAACCAGTCCTTCCACGGCTACCGCTTGTTGCTTTCACATTACCATCTCCAGCGTCTCCTTCGGGCTGGGTGGTTGCGAGTGCTACTGCAGAAGGATTCAATGCAGGTCTGCCGGTATAGTCGGAGCCAGACTTGATGAGCAATCGCCGACCGTCAAGATGCCCTTCCGAAAGAGCGATTCCCGCTTGCACAATGTCGGCGTCCGGTACATCGGCATAAGCATAGCTATTGACCAAGCAGTGTTGGAGGGTTAGCAAAGATGAGAAGAATGTACGAGTTGTGCGGCACGCAGACTCGTGTCACTCACCCTTTGTTGTGTTCCATCTTCTTTTGTCCAGAAGGCATGTGTATGCGCGAAATGCCAGTGATGCCACCTTCCTCCAGCCACTCTTTCAGCCGAGCTTCGGACGTTCGAAAGCTGAGGTTGCCAATCCAGAGACTAAAGCCGCTTCGTGCTGGCACTTTTGGCTCTGTTGCCACCGGAACAGAGTCTGCACTCCCTCCAGTACCAGCCTTGGCGGCCGCCTTTTCCAGCTTCCGCCTCTTGCGCTGCTCCTTGTGAGATATAGCTTCCACCTCTGCATCCTCCGCCTCGCCCGGTGCATCGCTCTCAGTGTCAAGCGCAGAACGCTCGTGCGAATCGCTTACAGCTACGTGTAGATCGTCTGCCGCATCGACGACTATTTGCGCTGCAGATCGAAGAGCATCGCCGGCCTCATCTGCGGCACCGGCCTCCTCAAAATCCTGCTCCTCCTCGTCACCATCCATGGCCATTGCGGGAATCTTGATGCTCGCCTTTTTCTCCTTTTTGCTCTTTTTCGACTTCTTTTCTTTGTCCACATTCGTATCGTCTTTGCCCTTGCTGCCAGACTTGCGTGACTTTTCCGCTCCTATCGACTCTTTGGCGGCATCCATTCCGGAGGCGCTAGGTGCGGCTTGCTCCTCTTCCTCGGCACCAACCGGTGCTCTCCTCCTTTTGCTTGGCTGAGCGCCAGGTTGTCCCAGCTTGCGCTTGGAGTCAGAAACAGAGGTCGACACGCTGGACTTGGCCGCATCCGCATCCGGAGCCGCGGCCACATCGTCCGACTGTTTGCCGGATGCTTGCTCCTTGGTCAGATGCTTGCCCTCCTTGAGCACGACTACCTGCGCACCATCAAACTCATCCTCATCGGCAGAGGCTGGGCGTTCGTGAGAGCCAGAAGCATCCAAGCCAGCACCTAGCATGTCGTCAAATTCAGACGTAGAGTGTCGCTGATCTTTGGCGTTGACCTGTTTGTGGAGTTGCTGCAAGAATTTTGGCACTTGACCCGCATTGAACTCGAGGTTGCGCGCCGGCAAGGGCTTGTCTTTGGGTGCCATGGTGGGGAGGATGAATGTGGCAGGCGGCAACGTCGCCTTGTTGAGATTCGAAGTGAGGAGGAGTCCAGAACGCTGTCAGGAAGCGATGCGAGTAGAGGGCTCCTCTCGACTGATCGTGGTCATTGTCGAGGATTTGACGCTTGATTGGAGCGCCTGGTTGTGCCCTCCTCGTCGGTCTCAGCTGGACCTGCCTGCTGCTGCCCTGCTTGCTGTAGAAACTTCACGCCCGCCAAATCAACTTTTTTCTTGACACAGCCCAACGCATCACGTGACAGAAACCTAGCTGCCCTTAGCCGTCAACAAGTCAAACTTGTTGACATTCTGGTCTGGCTTGGCTCAACTCCCATGAAGGACTTCCACTTCCAACCACAATTGCTCAAATCTGACGCTGCCGTCGATGCCAGCGACATTTTCCCGAGCCCAAATGGTCCAACATTGATTGTCGTTTGAGCCAACCAACGCGCCAACACAGACCATCTGCCCACCTCGTCGTATCGATCCGTAATGGCCAGCCTGCCTCCCGCCAGCACTTCTACAGAGCACTACGCCGCTCGCGATCTTTTCGGAGGAGCAATCAAGGTGGATGTACCATTCTCATTCCTAGACGTGAGGTGAGCATCGCCTGTTCACCTTTCAAAGCCTCTCGAAGTTCGAGCGAGCCTCCTCTGACTGTCCTGCGCGCACCCTTCCTTGATGCCCTCGCTGCTTTCCCACCCCGGCACCAGTGATGTTCGACAAGTGCCAGATACTCAAGAGGTGCACGTGTCGAGGGACAAGGACGACATCAGCTTGATTGTAGAGATATTGCAGGTCGTGGATGTCGCTGCGCAGCAAGCTGGCCGCAGTGAGTTGGAAAGTGCCGTGAGGTGAGTCGATTTGCTGGAAGTCTCAGGGCGCAGATGGCGCATGGTGTGCTTCGAGTAGAAGATTGCACGGATCTAGGAAACATCCAGGCAACCTCGACTGATCGCGCACAAGTATCAGCCCTGCTGACGTGACGACGGACTTTCGCGGGTTGTGCAGGTATCACTTTGACTCGATAGCGCACGATGGTGGGGCAGCAAGCTCCTCTGTCAAGCACGTTTGGACGACATCGCCGTCACCAGCGACAAGTGTCTCACAGCCAAGCACGCCTTGCGCAGTACTTCTCATGGGTGAACAGAGCGTGGTGAAGTACGGAGAACGTTTCGGGCATTCGGCTCAGGATAGGATACGGGTTTGGGTGGCGCTATATAGGCTCAGACCGGCGCGCAACATTGACTTGGTGCTCAGCGTGAATGAGCCCCTTGCTCAAGCTGTGGCCGACAACGACAACGAGCAGGAGGATCTGCGAGCAGAGAGAGCAGGCGAAAGGGTCGAACAGGTCAAAGATGAAGCTGCGGAGAGCCGGGCCAGAGGGATCTTTGAAAGGGCAGCTGGAACGCTCCGCATACATGACTGGGACCTCTTTGCGGAATGAAATGCGCTCACACATGATCGATACTGGCACTCGAGTGAAATTGTCGCGATGTGCGCGTGTGCAGCTCAAGCCTCTCTGTGCGGTGTCTGACGCAGTGTGCAATGAAGTCGTACTCGTCCGATGAACGCGTCAATGGGAGGTGAACATTGCCCTATGGCGACAGACACGCTTGAGTGTAAGTGCACATCGGGATTCGCTGATGGATCGAGCTATGGCATTGCACCGCTGTGCGGTTTCAAAGGTGCGCGATGGGAGCGCATTCAAGCTTAGTTCTCCTCAATGGCGCAGATGGCATCCACCTTGGCAGCGCTGGGAGAGTTGGGGTCCCAAACGTGTCCGAGCCAGCCTTTGGCCAAGTTGCGAGCGAGCCTGAAAGAGGTGAATTGAAAAAAGTCAGGCATTGCGTGGGCTGGAGCCCCATGCAGAGCAACGAGCGTGGCAGCACTCACTCGAGACCAACGACGCGCTGACCGAAACACAAGACTTGAGCGTTGTTCGAGAGCACAGAGCGCTCGACAGAGAAGGGGTCGTGAGCAGTAACGGCGCGGACACCCTTTACTTTGTTGGCAGAGATGGCGACGCCGAGACCAGTGCCGCAAACAAGCAGAGCGCGGTCAACCTCGCCAGAGGCGACCTTTTGCGCAGCCAGCTTGGCAACGTTGGGGTAGGCTGCCGGGCAAGACAAGGAGGCGGGCGTTGCAGGTCAGCAGACATCAGAGCATGCGCATGTAAGGGCAGCATGCTCACCAGTCTTGTCAGTGGAGCTGTTCACACCGACATCGACGATGTTCTTCACGCGAGGGTCCTTCTTGAAATCGGCAATGATTGCGTCCTTGTATTGACTGTAATGAGCAACAGTCAGCAAACCTGGCGCACACGCATCGAAACACACTCTCGCCTACTCACACGCCAGCCTCTGCGAAGCGTCGAGCGAATTGCGACCTTTCGAGTAAGCAAAGATTCTTTGCGCTGAAAAGGGATGGGGGGCATTCTACATGCACGCTCCTTGGAGCGACTCACCATCGGCGGCAAAAGCAATGTTCCAAGATGGTGCAGACATTTTGTGAGAGTGTATGACTGGCAGTCTTCTATGATGTGTCGTTGATTCCTGGTAGTGAAGATTATGAGTGACGAACGCAAAGCTCACTCGCTGGCGATTGTTGAGATCAGATGCAACGCACAAATGAACTTCACTCACGACTCACAGAACTTCGACGCACATCGCAAGCACCAGCAGCAGCAGCGAGCACCACGTCGGCGTCCTTTGACATTTACGTTCTGCGTTAGACGATCCGATCGCGCACGGCAGCTCTCCACGGGCGCCATGCACCTCGCAGCTGCGCATTGAATTCCCCGCCGTGACACGCTCGCTTAAAGTCCGCGCGTGCGCACGCGGCGCTGCAAACTTACGACGTGATGTGGAGGCGAAATCCTGCAATCACGAATCAAGAATGGCACCGAATGCGCTGCAGCAGTCAGACTCAACAAACACTCGTGACTGCATGGACGCCTGCGACCGCTTTTGGGTCGCTATATGCACATCTTGCAGTGTGAGCATATAAGTCTTGAGTGATCAAGTGGTCACGAGTCACGAGCGAGTACGAGGGTGTATTCACGTGATTGAGCCTGTTGGCCCAGCGCAAGTAGGCACGCACGCACGTGGCTGATTCTGGAGCACCCTGCGCGCAGGCTCACTCAAATCAATGTGTCCCCCGATTGACCTGACCACGACAGCAAAAGACGCAAGATACAAACGCTGCACAAGCAGAGTGAAGCACGACTTTATGTGCACCTTGGGCCATACAGAGGAGCGCTGATCCGATGCGAAGCAATTGAGTCACAATGGATCGGCCTTACGCGAGGTCTGAGGCTATGCGCCAAACACATTGTCACGGACCCCTGCACACCAACTGGGAGCGTTTTGTGATAGACAGCAGTAGTGGTACGAGCAGCCTTTCGACCCAGAACATGCCATTTCTGCTTCTTGTCTCCGTGTAAATTTATGTCGCACTCCCCGCTTCTCCCACCTCCCGCGCATCTCTTCTGGCTCTGATCGAGCGACCTGGATGATTACTGTTGAGCGGCGGCTGCCCTAGCTTGCACTCGCTCAAAGAACTCGCTGACCTTCCTTTCAACACCGCGCCTGTCGCCAGTCTTTGACTCCAGAATAGTGATGATCTCCGACGGCTCGAGCTGAGTGGCACCCGCTGCTGGATGCGCTCCTTGAATCAGAGCGGCAACTTCGGCCTCAGATGGAAGGGCGTACTGATTGTGCGCCGGCTCCCAAGCCAGAGGACCGACGCCTCGGATTTTGGCCTCGTGCGCAGCTCGGTCCTTCTCGGATGGGAAAGTCTTGGGCTGTGGCAGCCCGCTCAAGAAAGGCACGTCGATCTTGAGTCCGGCCTTTCTTGCTTGCGCCTCGTTTCCAAAAAAGAGGTCATTGACGTGCTCATCCTTCACACTCTCAAGATCCGAAGGATCCCAAGCTGCTCTTCCTTCGCGACGTTTGCCCGTGTTCGGATCTTTCGTGAGGACGTGAGTGACCCCGGTGTGGAAATCACGACCGGCAGACAGGTCGCAGAATGCAGTAGCGAGTCGCATGTCGAAACGAAAGGCCTCGGCGATGTCTAGACGGCGTGCGGCAGTGATCGCCTTGAGGGAGACCTTGATGCTCCGCGGTGACTTGGACTGCAACGTCTCGAGCGTCTTCTGAGCCCATTGAGCTACTGCGCCGGACACCGACGTCACGCCAAGGCCGATGAGCTGTTTCGCCGTTTGAGTGTCGTCCGAGCCATTCGAAAGCTCTGCCAGTGCTGCGAAGATTTGCTCAGCCTTCTCGAGGCCGAAGACGTGATCAAGGGCAACGCGTCTAGCGCCAACGAGGGGCGTGTCAGCAAAAATTTGAGGACCCTTCTCGTTGTCCGAGGCGGCGAACGGATCGACAGTGTACTCTGTCAATGCACGCGCGACCTGTTCAGTGGTGGCATTGATGGGGAGAGTGCGCAGCCGGTCCAGCGCTTCAGATAGGAGGCGTTTTGGAATGAAGTGCGTCGCCAGTCCAGCCAGACTGCGAGCATCGAGCTTGTCAGTAGGGCGTGATGGCCGGTCAGCGTATCAACAATGGCACTCACTATGCTTCCTCGCCAGATATTTGGGTGCCAGTCGTGCCGAGGTAGTAGCCGACGCGACCGTCCAGTCGAGAAAGTACCCTTGTCACACCCACATCCGGCCAGTACCCAATGCCAGTCTCGGGCATGGCAAATCGTGTGTTTTCCGTGGCAATGCGAATGGGTGCGTGAACCGAGAGACCAACTCCGCCTCCCACTACAAGGCGCCCGTAGAAGAACGAGCGATGAGTCAATACGCATACAGAGCTCGTCTACGTGCACACACTCACTGGTGATGCCGTCCATGACGGACACGAAAGTCTTGTTGGTGCGCTTTTGCAGCGTAGCAATAGCAAAGTCGACCTCGAACTCGGCTTTGAAGAACGTGAGCGCTTGAGCCCGCACGTTGGGGTCCTGCGAAGCCGCAGCTTCGACGACGCTCTTGACGTCTCCACCAGAGCAGAGACCCCGGCCTACCCCGCGCAGCAAGATGATCGGCGCATCCGTCTTGGAGATGGTCTGGGAATTCCATGCTCGTCAGCATGTGGCGCTTGGCAATGATGTAGACAAGGTAACTTACGTGCAGAGCCTCGCCAATCAGCGTGACCATGTCAAGGTCGAGGGCGTTGAGCGCTTTCGGCCGGTTGAGGACGATGGTCCGAAGCGGGCCTTCGCTTAGTTGCTGTACTTTCGGCTCCTTCCCCGATTCCCCGCCTCCAGTTCTGCTCGCTGTAGCGGCCTGCTTTGCCACAGCAGCGCCGGCTGAGCTCGGGTGGGAAGAGGAGGAGGCGCTCCTTCCCCTCCCACCAGGGGCGCCAAAGGCTTGCATAGCTGGCGGACCTCGCGGGTTGCCGGAGAGGTGCGAAGAGATCTGGGAGAGCCTTCGAGACATGTGTGGCGTCGATGTGCTGATCAGTTTGAGATTGGCGTGGCGAGCCGCGGATGATGCTTGGACCCGAGCCGAGAGGAGGGTGTTGCAGTGACGTTGCAGGGCCGGTCGTGCGAGACGTGCGAAGGATGGTTGTCCAGCCTGTGCGAACATGGCCTTGCCAAATGTCCGCTCTCAATCAGGCACCAGTAAAGGCAAGCTGAGCAGGACAAAAAGGGGCTCGGCAGGTAGGCTGATTGGTCAAGCTTGCGTGAAGTCTGTGAATGCAGTCACAGTGTGGGCAAGTTGAACGATGGTGCTACGACTCAATACCCAGCGTCACGTCAAGCCACGATCCGTGAGTTGGTCGCAAGTGATCATCGCTAAGCGGCAGAGGCTCCGTCGCGAGCAAAACGAAATTCCCGCCAAGTGGAGCGCGACGTCCTGGCGGTTCGAGAACAATTTGCTTTTCTCTTTTCGTCGGGTGCGTGCATTCAGCCTTTCGAAGGCGCGCGCAGTGGATGACACGACCCAGGTGCGTGATTCACGATTGTTCACGGCTCACACGCGGTGTGCGGCTGCATATGAAGCAAAACACCGATTCGGTCCCTCCGCAATCGAGACACAACATCATCCCCACTACGACGCGCTCATCACAAAAGCCGTGATATATCGTGGATCGAAACAAGACATTCGTGATTTTGTTGCGAGGATTGCAGAAGAGATCAGGTGCATCTATAAACACATCGTTACGGTGACGTGGGAAGACTGCGAGCGTGAGGAAGCGCGAGAAGCATCGAGGGGGTGATGGAGCGTGGCGGGAGCGAGTGGATCAATGAGCATCTCCAAGAGGCACAAATGCGAAGGGGAAGATGGCAGCAGTGTTGAAGATTCCGGCGATCCAGAACTTCTTGCCGAGAGTTCTGGTGGGCTTGGTGCCTGGGTGGAACTTGAAGATGAGAGTGTAGAAGATACCACCAATGGCACCGAAGGCACCGACTGCGCCTGCCACCGTACCGCTGTTCTTTGGTCGGATGTGAGGGTAGACGGCGTAGGCTGCTCCATTGGCTGCGAAACCGGTGGTAGCAATGCCGACAATGAAGCCCAGCACGCCGCCAAGAGTTGGGGGTGCGCCTTGGTCGACGTAGAAGCCAAGTCCAATCATGAGTACACCTTGCATGATATTCATGGCGATGAGGAACACTACCTTGGCGCGCACACCAAGGCCGCGAGGACGGAAGCGGTTGTAGAGAATGTCGCAAAGGATGCCACCGAGAGGACGAGCGTACAAGTTGAGCAGGCCGTAAGTTGAGGCTGCGTAGGCGGCATCGGCAACGGAAAAGCTAGGACCAGCAAACAGCCCGTAGATCAGCTGAGGCAGAGCAGCATCCATGGCCGTCTCGAGACCAAAGGTGATGCAGTAGCTGAGCGCGACCATCCAAACTCGTAGGTCAAGGGCAATATCCAGGGCAGCGCGAGCAGTGAGAGGTTCAGATTGAGCTGCGTCATTCTTGTCGAACTGCTCTCCTGTCTCGTGGAAGTCCGACGTCTTCGCGGGAGCGTGGCGGGTGACGACCTTCTCGCTGCCCTGCTCTTGAGCACCTTCGCGCATGCGCTCCTGCTCACGGATCTCTCTCGGATCCAGTTGAACATCTTGACCAGCAGCGACAGCCATGGCGGTACCTGGGAGTTGATGACGCTGCCACCACTTGCCGGCTGGGTGGTCGCGACCTAACAGCATCAGCACAGCAGCGACGACGAGGAGCAAAGGCACGGGCAGTGCCAAGAAGGCGATACGCCAAGCGAGGTGGGTGCTGAGGCCAGCGCGGTGCAAGCCTTCAAAGGTGTTGATCATCAATACAGGGCTCAGACCGCCGCCGAGGTTGCCCCAGCCGCCCGAGAAAGCGTTGGCGGTTCCCACGATGGTCTTGTCGAAGAAGGCGGTGGTCCAAGCTTGAGTGGGCACGAAAGTTCCTCCGAGAATCGACTAGCAATATGAGGTAGCCGACGTCAGAATCTGGTCGCAAGTGCACGCCGACACTTTCGTACTCACGATGAAGAAACGAATGGTCTCAAGCCCACCGAGGTTGCTGATGGTCGGGACGAGAGCCGAGGGAATGGCACCTACGACCAAAAGAGTAGCAAGGACTTTGCGAGGTCCCCACTTGTCCACGGCAGGTCCAACGAGGAACCGGACGACGGCAGTACCGGCAAGAGAGCACAGGTTGCTGTTTGCAACTTGGTCTGCTGTGAGTCTCAGGTCGACTCTGACGGCTTCTGTCATCAAGGCTGCGAAAGCGAACCAGCAGATGAAGGCGGTGAAGAATCCCAGTGTGGCGAGCCAGAAGGCAGTAGAGTAGGGGTCCCAGAACCGGAAAATGGGGAATGTGTAACTTTTACCGTTGACGGGGTTCACCACTGCAGGCTCCCACAGAGAGGCCCATCTGAACTTGAGCTGTCCTGCTCGGGCTTGCCTCTGCGTCTCGGACACATACGCCTCCGTGGTAGCCACACCACCTGCGGACATGGGGACGATGGCGTCCTCTTGAGCTGTGCCGCGCTTCTCATCGTGGGTGGACGAAGGTGTGGAGGATGAGCCCTCTCGGGGAGAGTATTGAGGCGCACTCATCTTGTGCGACCGAAAGGCAAGGGTCGAGCTGGATGACGCGCGGGTGCTAAGTGAGGCGCAGCAGAGGGCAGTTGTGAGGTGAACGTGTAGTGATCAGACCGAAGGGAGGATGGACGGTTGAGGTGTGGAGAAGGGGAGAGATAATGGTCGAGCTTCGATCCGCTCGGATCAAATACCTTTCCGACGCTCGTTTCTTCGATAGCTGCTCAATCGTGCGTGCTGCCTCGACGTGAAACTGCTCTTCGATCGCTGGCCAATCAGTGAAGGGAACGAGCGAATCGGTGCCGCCCTGGGATCGGTCTGTCACCGCGGATGCTGGGCTCGGTGACAGCCAAAGCGACATCGCCTGCTGCTGGATCATACAGTACCGATCGGTCCAACGATGGCTAGAATTCGATACGCTGTGTTTCAAATCGAGACGCTGTGTCCTGCGAAGCCTGCCCCTGCTTCCACTACACTCTTGACTATGTGACTTGAGTCAGTTTGGGCCGTTTGCCGAGCGTTCATGGCAAGCGATGAAGCGATAAGGGGGCTTCCAGACCTGGAGTTCGCGCCCAAAAAAGTTCTGGCCAATGAGAGCCCATACTGCAGACTCCCCGTAAGATTGGAACGAGTAGGGAGGTCTGCCGTCTGCGGCACGATCCATGCTGTGTCCACTTGGCAGCCAGCAGCCTTCGAGAGGCCTTGTGTTTCGAATCTGCGAAGAACGTCGTAGATAAGGTAGAGCGCACGAGAGGGTCGCCCATCAGTCTTGAGTCTCAACCACAAACCTGCTGCATGAAAGCTTGCAGCTGCCCGAGTGTCTGCTGCATGTGTGCCTGCCTGACAGACCGCAGCCGCAGCTTTTCCTTCCTCTGCTGGTGCTGTCGCTGCTGGCCTAAGCTTATCGCTATGATAAGGGATGCAGCAGCCATGCAGCGCTGCAGATTTGCGACGCGCTTGATGCCGACAAGCTGCCGGCACCGCGCCACCGCGTCGTCGTCGTCGTCGTGTGCGTGCGTGCGTGCGTGCGTGCGTGCGTGCGTGCGTGCGTGCAATCGTGAATATGAGACAAGCTCAGCGTTGTACTGCGTGCCCTGGTGAGACTCGTGACTGGCCCTCATAAGAATGAAACGACAAACTCACACTCAACTGTCACAGAATAGGCTATAGAGAGCGACGGCTACCTCGATCGAATAATCGTTCGGGACATGACGTCGCTCGAAGCGTCATGGTGTAGACATCACAATCAGAATAGCATTTGACGGTGCTGTCTCTTTCACGAATCCGCATCCTAATTCGTCTTGGGGCGGCATCGATGCCCAAGACGTATCAAGGAACAAAACACAACAATCTCTGTGAAGCGCGCGCTGCTGCTCCGTGCTAGCTGCTCCGTGCGCTGTCAGAGAAGTGACGTGCAGCAACCTTCATGAGAGCTTCGGGATCCTATGAGACGCCTCGCGGTCTTTGAAGACGCCGGAGTTCATCTCGTAGAAGAAGGCTCTTAGTGCTGACCGCAAGCAACCGAATCTAGACTTTGGGTGATAGCCAATAGGACATGCAGAGCCAAGTGCTAGCTTGATTCATGTCGCTCCTCGCAGTGCACCAGCCTGACCGGGAACTTGCAACGCCAACGACTGTCCAGTCCTTCCTACCTACTCTGCATTCACACGCGGATTTCGTAAGGTGTGGCTTGGCAATCAATCAAGGCCACGCAGGAACCAAAGGCTCATGCTGCCGCACTCCTCTGGTAGGCTATAGCAGCGGTGGCTTGCGCCTCAGGTCGACTTCCTTATCGCGCGCGATCCAGGCTTGGCGACTTTGCAGGTCCGCGATCAAAGATAATCCTAAACGACGATGGGGCTCGCAGCGCCTAGACTCGCGGTTAGCTTGAGAGTCCGAATGACAGCCTACCTCCCAGCGCTCCAGACCGAGCCGTTCATCCAATGGCGTCGTGACGATCGAAAGACCAGACCGGTCCTTCCGGGCGACAAGATATCACCAACCAATCACAAAGAAGAAGCTCCATCGACGCAGGTGAGATTTCACGGTGAGCGTCTCTTGGACTAGCAAGTCCGCACAACGGAGCATGTACACCTTCCACAAGCAATTCATTCGGGCGTCCGTGTGTGTGTGTGTGTGTGTGTGTGTGTGTGTGTGTGTGTGTGTGTGTGTGAAAGGCATGATCATGAGCTGATGTGTGTAAAGGCCGATGTCTGATGAATATCCTGTGAGTGGCGAGCGTAAGAGTGGCAAATGGAGCGGTGTTCGATGTCTGTGGGGCCGGTTAGTGGAAAGTTGAAAGCAGTAAGGATGCCGAAAGCAGCAAGCATCGGGCATTTTCGAGTCATGCAGAACGCAAATCGCAGCAGAGCAGCGGCTGTAAGCCTGCCAGACGAAGCCGAGTGCAAATTCAGCACTGCCTCAGCTACTTGCCCGCGACGGTGCGCGAGGTACGTTTGTTCCATGCTTGATCGACAATCGCAGTGTTTTCAAAATCGAGCAGAGTCTTGTTGCTTGCGGAGCCATTCAAAGGGCGGCCGAGAGCGCCCTGCGAAATACGACGCCGGTCCAGCTCCGTGAGCTCTCCTTTCGGCATTCTGTGCACCTTCTCGAGGTTGGCGCTGCCCTTGGAAGGGTATCTTTCCGATACCTCTGCGTGGGCTTGTGAGCTCACCAGCTTGTCGTACGTGGCTTTATGATTCTGATCTTTGTTAAAGCCACCGGCAGATGCCGGTCTGACCGTCGGGTCGTTGCTGAGCTCAGGTTGGTGATCGAGGGTCATCGATGTGGGACGCGACCTTCGAAAGCGATCCATCGACGACGCGCCGTCTTTGGAAAGGCGCACGCTTTGGCGCCATTCCTTTGCGCGTTGTGTCGCGTCCGAGCGCTCGTCCTTCTTTACGCTGCCATCCCTTTCACCTAGTATGAGGAGCTGATTCATCGATCGACGATACTGCGATTGAGCTGCACCTGTGGAGGCTTGCTGGCGCAGCTGCTCCTCGGCTTGAGCTGCAGCCACTGCTGCCTCGTGTGCGCGCACGCGCTCGCGAAGATGCATCGTCTTGCGTTCTTCTGCCACCTTTTGCTCCCAATGCTGCTTCGCGAGCTCTAGCTCAAACGTTGCTGACACTCTCGATTGTTTGGCAGCGAGCTTGGCTTTGTGGCGTTCTTGCAGCTCCGCCATGGTCATGTGCACAGCACCGGAAGGCCCGGACTCGTTCGCGATTCCCTTGACGGCGTCTGCGGGCCAGTCGATCGAGCTGTTGCGGTATGAAAGGGTTGAACGACGTCGGCTCGCAGGCACGGTGCCATTGATGACTCGTCGCGGCGAATCTGGAGCCTTTGCCGTCAGATCGAATTGCGTCTTGGAAGCTCGCGGCTCAGGCGCATCCAACATGCCGCGGCCGACCGAGGCTTCTGGACTATTAGCACCCGTTCTGGCTGGCAAGTGCAAAGGCCGAAGCTGGGGAGGCGCCGTAGGCGGGAAAGCCAAGTCTGCCTGCAACTCTGCGCTCATATCAAATCTTGGACCTTGTTCGCTAAAGCGGCGCCCCGCATCGAAAGACCTTTGCGGCTCGTACACGCCATCCTGGCTGGTCTGCGTAGGTAGGCTATCTTCTGGAGATGAGAGGCGAACTTCGTCCTCGATCATGGTTCTGAAGCCTTGGCTCAGCTCGTCCTGCGCCAGGGACAGCAGGCTAGGTAACATCGGGGCCGAAACGACCCTCGACCGCTTGGTGCGGTCATCACTAGTCCAAGGCGCGGGCTTGCTGGATGTCGTACCAGGTGCAAAGTTGACACTCCGTCGCCCACCGTCGCCTCGAAGGGGGGCATGGTAGCTGCCTGTAGCGCTCAGTGCCTCTTCAGGTGCGCTTGGAGGTGTTCCAGCTGGCAAAGCACTGTGCAATGAGGAAATGCTCTGGCGGATGTTGGCAATCTCGTCAAGTAGTCGTTGCCGCTCTTGAAGATCAGCACTTCTTGCTGGAGGATCATCGCCGCGGGCGGGATTGGCTGCCGCTACAGCAGTAGGAAAGCGAACGGCGTTGCCCGCATACATCGTGTCTGACCTGCCGACGTTTTCGTTGCGGCTCAGGCCCTTGACACTGTCAGCAAAACTGACGTGTGAGTTGCTCCTCGCGGGCGCAGTCGCGCCGTAGAAGATACTGCGCTGGACGAATTCATCTCCAGCTTCCGGAATCGGGGAAAGCGATTGGCCTGAGTTGTTTCGGGTGAAGCTGCCACGTGCGAAATGGGACCGATTGTCGGAGGCCTTCTCTTCGGTGGGAGTTCCTTGGCTTCCAAGCTCAGGATCGTCCGTGCGATATCCGTGCCTTCTTTCCCATTCTGCGAGGTCTCTCTGCGCATTGCGAAAGACGTGCTGCGAGGCACGTCTCGCCTGAGCGTTGATTCGTCGATCTTCGTCGTCAGACTTGAGGGCACGCAGATTAGCTCGAAGCTCGGCAAACATCTTGGACTGTAAGGCCAAGCTCATCAAGGTACAGCCGCCGATGACGCCGAGCTCGATCTGTGCGATAGCGTCAAGGGCGGTGGCTGATCAGCTTTGCTGTTGCGCACTGATAGAAGATGGGTGCAGCATCCTAGACTGACCTGGACGGCTTGAGGCAACGGAAACTGACCGTGCTCAAATGTTGGCCTGTGGCGATCGGCGAACAGCTGATCACCGAGCAGGTTGCGAGCGTAGAATTCTTTGAGGCCAGCTGTCGTGTAGCCTGGAGAGGAGGGCGCAGAAGAAGCAAAGGACGCACGATGTGAGCAGCAGCCCAACATGGTGGCAACGACTGTGCAGTCAGGCGACTCACAGTCGATGCCAAGCATCACAATGGTGCTGCCGGTAAGAGCCGATGCTGCAAGGAGGACCAGCGGCTGAATGCGCTTGGATACAGCGATCGAAAAGAAGACGGCGATACACCCGAGGTAGAGCGCCCAGCGAAGTACGAGCTGCTGTATGAGACCGTCACGATGCAACGCCTGGATGAAGAGTCCCAGCGACAGTCCCCCAAGAGACGCAGCCAAAAGAGCAGCGCCAGCGTGCCAGAAGAGCGCTAGAACCCCGCCAATGATGCCCACGACTAAGCAAGCGAGCAAGAAGAGGCCGCGGGTAGTGGGTGAAGGATCGAATATCGCTCTTTCGATACCTAGCTTGAAGATCATGCACTGCTCAGGAGGTGATGGTGAGGTGGTGTGAGCACAGGGGTCGGATTCCCTAGCAGCCAGAGGATTAGCGAGCGAAGGCCCTCACCAACGTCACAAGAGCGAACCAATAGAACCTGGGGTAGGAAGCGTGCGTCAGCGCTCATTCCACATCTGGTCAACATTCCGAGGCAGGAAACCACCTGGCAGCTGAACCATTAGCGATGCCCGGGCAGCGGCTCCGGATGCAGTGGGCGCCAGATTGGTCATTCCCGAGGTACCACTTCTCGGCTTTTGGAGACTCCGACCATCTTACGAGCTGGCCTGACAGCGCGGCCAAGCTGATGCGAGTGGCCCTACATGGCCTCTGAGCCGATCACATTGCAAGCACCACCGCGAGCACGAACGCGGTATCCATGCAACCGCAACATCTATCATCACGCATACGCAAAACGGCGCTGCTGCTGCTGACGATGATGAGACACCGGGCTGCGCTGTGCGGCGCTGAGCTCTTGTGATCGAAGAGCGAGACCGGCCATGAGCAGGGCAGGCGCGGAGATATGTCACCTCGGGTCCAAAGTGCCAAGCCAAGTGGGATCGCAACTGAGACGCGAGGCTGTGATAGCGCGCTCGGTGGATGCTGAGAGGCAATGGCGTCGAGATGCCTTCATCTTGGCAGGTCTATCGCGGCAGAAATCCTGCGAGATCCGCGCTCAGACCCGCGACTCTTGCCATTTCGATTGCCAAGCTCAGCTCTCCGTGCGCATCGATGGTGTTGTTCGCTGCTGCACACGTGTTGGCAGCGAAGAGGCCGCGTCGACGACGAGGAGCTAGGCGCAACTTGCTCACATCGTGTGAGTTAGTCGTGAGTTGAGATCTTATCCCGCCGGCCCGCCGCGTCTTATGTAGCAAACAGCACGCGTGCCACGCACAGGTTAGGGCAAGCTTGCTGTGGTACCGGTACTCTTGACTGTACGTACTTTACAGCGCCGTGAACCTCTCTCTCTCTCTCTCTCTCTCTCTCTCTCTCTCTCTC